TTTATCTGTTTGAGGAATTTTGGCATTGTCAAGGTAAATAGGAGGGCATGTTCCATGTCGAAGAGTAAAAGTGATGTGTTGTGATTTGTCTTGGTTGAGTCGAATTTTCCAGAGTTTGCACCAGTCTTTTAGTTTTGTTAGATGATGTTGTAAAGTCTGTGTGGCGTGTGTTGGGTTTTTATGTCTTGTCAGAATAGCTGTATCGTCTGCGTAAGTCGCTATAATAGTTCTGGCGCTGTTAGGGATGTTGTGTGTGTATATAATGTACAAAAGCGGAGCTAGTACTGACCCCTGAGGAACACCTGCTAAGACTGGTCTTATTGAAGAAAGTTCTGGGCCTTGGCAGATAGAGTAAAATCTGTCAGAAAGAAAGGATTGAAGTATAAGATAATAGGTAGGAGGGAGTATCGTCTTAAGTTTGAAGAGAAGACCCTTATGCCATACTCTATCGAATGCTTGAGCGACATCCAGAAATACTCCAGTTGCATACAATTTTTGCTCCAGTGCAGTTGCAATGTAGTCAGTCACCCTGTGTAATTGATGGATGGTTGAATGCTGTCGCCGGAATCCAAATTGATGGTCGGGTATTATTTTTTCGTCCGTCAATATGTTCATAAGTCTTTTGTATAGTAGTTTTTCAAAGATTTTGGAATATATTGGGAGTAGACTAATTGGCCTGTATGATGAAGGGGTGTATTTGTCTTTGTTTGGTTTGTGGATCATTGTAATGTGTGAGTATTTCCATTGTACAGGAAATTTGGTTGTTCTGAGTACTGCATTGTAAATAGATGTTAAGTAAACTAGAGCTTTTCTAGGCATTTTCTGGAACACTTGAGCAGTTATCAGGTCATGACCAGGGGCTTTCTTTTTAGGTAATTGTCTAATTTGTTCTGCAACAAGTTTCGGAGTGAAACAAGGTGGAGGTAATTCTAATTGTAGTGGAATGTCTAAAGTGTTTAGTACTTTTTCTTCGTGTTCAATGTTGTTGAAGTCAGTATGTGGAGTAAAAACAGAAGAAAGATGGATAGCGAATAGCTCCAATTTTTCTATATCTGACATGGCCCAGGAACCATCCTCGTTTCGGAGAGGTGCAGACACTTCACGATGATTTACAAGTTTTTTTGTATGCCTCCATAAGCTCCCAGCGTCAGTAGAGAGATTTCTGATGTAGTTGTCGTAAATTGTAGTTATATAACTTTGAATATGTCGTTTTAGTTCATTGTTAAGTCTATTGAATGTCCGTTTGTCAGATGGCAGTCGACCAGTTTGCCATACTTTGCGAGCTCTTCTCTTTGCCCTGATCAAATATCTTATGTACTGAGGATATGTTGGAAGCCACTCATTTCTGTTGGACCTTGGGACAGAAGAAGACAATATAGCTTGTTGAATGCTGTTTGTGAATTTATCCACAGCTTCTTCAACTTCCTTAGAGACATTGGAATAGAGAGCATTTCGTTTAGCTTTTCTTGATATCCATCCCAATCGATAATTCCTCCTACGAGAGATGGTCGTTTCATTGTAGTACATGGCTCATCATACAGTACTAAGCTGAGAAGAGAGTGATCAGAACAAAGATCGCAGCTTGCATTTATAGTGTATGGTACAGTCCTTAGTCCTTTAGTGACGAAAAAATCAAGTAGGTCTGGTGTTTTCTGTCTTGAAGTTGGCCAGTAAGTAGGTGTATCAGGTGAGATCGTGTCTAATGAAAGCTGATGGATGGCAGACTTTAGGTTTCTTCCTCTAGGAGTACAAAGTCGTGATCCCCAGGACTGCTGTTTGGCATTGTAATCTCCACCAGCAATAAAACACCTCCCCAGACGACTGAAGAAATTGCAAAACATCGCAGGTGTGAGCACGTACCTCGGAGGACAGTACACTGCAGCAAAGGTAATGGTTTGGTTTTGGGTATATAGTGTAATGGCTGTAGATTGTATATCAGGTGTAATGAGTAAATTTAGTGAGTGGCGCTTTAGTGATGTTTTAATTAGTATTGCTGTGCCGCCGTGAGCTGTATTGTCTGGGTGATCGGTTCTGTATATTCTGTAACCGGGAATGTAAAATTTAGTACGTGGAGTTAAGTGTGTTTCGGTGATAAGGGCAATGTCAGTCCGTTTTTCGTGCAAGTATATGTCAAGTTCAGTCTTATGTTGATTAACCCCGTTTGCGTTCCAAAGAAGAATGGACATGGAGCCCACAGTCAGCTGATTAGTTGCCATAGTCAGTGAATAAGGCCTGGGTGACATGTGAAAGTTCTTGGAGGAGACTGAAAAGGGGCTGAATGAGATTATTTAACCCACTTACTAAGTTGAGTAGCTGAGCCGATGCTGGATGAATGTCAGCAAGAGGTTTTCCCTTTCTCATGCCTGAAAATCCCTGCTGTTGGTGACCTGGTACTGCTTCAGGTACTGTTCGTGTAGATTTGTCTCTTCGGATGCTGCGAATTTGATGTGAAGGAAGCTGAGTGAGACTGCTGAAGTTCAGGTAGAGGCGGAAACTCATGGATTGCTGGAGGTACGCTAATTTGTGTTTTGTCAGGGTTTTTCGTTGTTTTCCTGGGATTTCTGGCTTCCCTTAATTCTTTTAATGTTTTACAACCCCTGTAATTTGCTGGGTGTGACCCTCCGCAATTGGCACACTTCGCGGCTGTTTCTCTTGGTTTGGTGCAAGTAGTACTGTCATGGCCTAGGCCACATCTCACGCATTTCGGAGCGTGATTGCAGTACGTTTTAGTATGTCCGTACTGCTGGCATCTGATACATTGTGGGATTATTCTCTTCTTTCTGGGTTCTTCAATTCTCACTTTCGTATAGTATAGAAATTCTACATCGAAAATTTTTTCATTGAAAGTTGCCTTTGATATATCTATGAAGAACATGGGTAATGGCTTCTTAAAACGTGATATTATGTTCACAACGTTAGTGGCTTCATAACCAAGACATCTAAGCTCATATTTAATTGTCTCTACTGGTGTTGCATGGTGAAGATTTTTTAATACTACTCTGGGGCTTCAATCTTCTGGTAGTTGGTATGTATGAAAATCAGCACCACCCTGCCTTAAACTAGCCACTAGTGTACGATATATATCTGCATTTTCGGGGTATACACTGACGCCTTTTGTTGTTGTCTTTAGCTTAAAACTATTGACACCGCCTACAGTTTGGAGGTATGAAACCAGTTCTGAGTAATTTTGAACATCATTTAAGTGTATGGGAGGAGGAACTATACGAGCAGGTTGTGTTATTTTAGGTTCTGATTCTTGTCCAACGTTGTTTAGAACTTCGAAACTGTTTTGAGTGATAGTAACCTCACTAACCTTTTTAAGTTGTTTTCTCGGGTCCCTTTCATTAGTTGTGATTGGTCTTTTCCTTCCAGTGACCAACTCCCATGCGTTTTCTCTCACATCGTTTGGTCCTAAAGTGTCCATTATAACTGTTATGTTGTCAGAGGACGACGGCGTAGCCATTGTTGGCGGCGGAACCGCTTCACACAACAGCGAAGATTCTATCTCTTCAAACTACTCTTTATCCGTGAACTTAAAAATGTTTAACTTGTTTAACTGTTTATAATGTCACTGTTAATCAACTATTAACACAAAGTTTTGACTAATAAACACATAGCAAAGTAATAATCACAGAGCGAACTGAAAACTAAACTGCAGTAGCGGCCATGACGGTGACATGTCATTTGCTGACTTAACATTACTTAACTGATACTTTCAGCATTCCATGAAAAAGTGTGACCCAAGTGATTGTGAACAAGGCCTAATTTGTGCATAACTCTCCTGAGCTAGTACCAAAAATAATAATATTTTAATATTATAACAGTAATCAAACTAAAAGATAATATTAAAGTAGAGAATGTAACCAATAATAATTTCTGGTACCTTGTACAAGTGTTTCTCCACTTTTAAGAGTGGACCATGATCATATGATCAAGCTATAATTGGGATTCGGGAATATCCTAAGAATAAGTATGTGTTTACTTTATAACCTCCCTTTATTAGATCGCGATTTACACTTAGTTAATCTTCCTACTGGTCTTAGTAGTTAGTTAAAATCAGGGCGTTAATTAGCTTTAATTACATCAATGCTGTTAACTTCTGCTCCCAGAAAAGATATACCAATCCCCAACCAGCCCTGGCCCAGATTTGGTTAAAGAATGTTTTTTAAAGAAAAAAAAAAAAAAAAATTTCGTAATATTGAAGAAAAAAAAAAATTTAAAAAAAGTTCAGGGATATTTTAATGCAAACTTAGTATGTTATCAAGTATGTTGAAATGCACTATATTACAAGGTTCCAGATAGAAGTACCTATTGCCTGGCCTACCGAAAACTTCTCATTTTCGTAATCCCGTGTGGAAACAATGGAAAAGTTCTCAGAATTCACTTCCTTGCAGTACACTTAGTATGTAAACAAACTTAGTCGCCCTCAACGTCAACAGCACGTTCTGAAAACCTGACCCTGTATTTTTTCAAGTCTTTCAAGCTTGAACTACGCACAATTTGGTCCCCATCCATTAGTTAAAAAATTAATAATAACGAAAGCTTAGCGAACTAACTCACTAATTGTCTACATATTTAAATCCACATTTATATCATTACTACTCATATATATATATATATATATATATATATATATATATATATATATATATATATATATATATATATATATATATATATATATACTAAGAAGTGACACATTTACATCTTTACTTAAAATTTATCTTCACAGACCCTATTTTCGGGTAACAAATATTTAATTCAAACAAGGTTTATATGACAAAAAATGGGATTCGTTTGGTAACTGTATATGAAAAAAATAAATACATTTAAATATAAAAGTATTATTTATCAAACCAGAGCTACTATGAAATAGTTTACTTCATAGGGTACTGTGAAGTAATTTTGGAAATTTAATTTATATATATATAAATAAATTCTAATCTTATTTACTATTTTTATTAATTGAAATGATATAAATTTGAAAATACATAAATTACCTAAGGATGAAATTAATGTACATCTTCTTACTGCTGGTTCTTCCTATACATTCTTCTAGCATCCATTTTCGTACAGTAGTTGTTGGTCCAGGCTCGTTCTTACGGCTTTAGTCAGATGAACAAGAGATATTGGCGGGGAAAGAGAACATATATAACCAAGCTATCTTTTCGGTGGTTGGCTATAGATTACGCTGTTAACACGCGCGTGTTTGATGGTGAGAAGTAGGGAATCTCCCACCACTACCTATGTCTCCCACCACTAGAGATGATGCGATATTATGGATATCGATATTTTCCTTTCGATATTGGCCAATGTCGCATCGCAGCACGGAGTTCAATATTATCGTTATATCGAGGAAAAAAAATATTGGATTTCGATATCGCACGGTATTTTTTTTTTATTTATATGTTTAAATAAATATGTTTATCAAATAAAAATAATCAAAACATTATTTTCTAAATACATGTAAAAGAAACAATACATAGAAATGTAAATATAACTTCAGTACAATCTTCTTAATATTAATAACAATCTATATCTTAAAACTAAATGTTTGGAAGAATGGGAAGAAAATACACTCCTAATTAACTTGGAAGTTGACACTATCAATCCCTAACTGACATAAAATAGTACCAAAAAACATAACGTAGCATTTAAAATATCGATTTAAAAATTTGAACTAAAATAAATCATGATATAATAGGAATTGTATGAAAACTTTTTCTGCATTCGAAATCTTATTTGACCTTAATATTTTTGAGAAAATTAATAAGATTAATATTAAAGTTGTTCTGAGACGTTTTAATGAAAAACATATATGTAGGATAGAATTATTTTTATGGATTTACTTTTTTTACATTTTATGAAAAGCTTGGCACTATATATGAGTTGTGAATATTTAGTTTCAAAAGACATTTATTATGCATATTTCGATTAATTGAATTTATTTTAGGCGTAAAGAAATTTTTATTAAATAAAATTAGAGTTTTTTTTTCCAATTAATATTTTGCAAGTCAATTATATTTCTATTTTTCACCAACTATGCTCCTAATGATAATATCATGTTTCTTTATAAACAACATAAAGGTAGTTAGTTGAAAATCACCCAAATTTCCATTTTCAAATTGAGAATAGTTTTGTTTTGGATGGAAGCTTAATATAGAAAGAAATGCATATCAGAAAAAATGCCAAGACTGGAGAACACAAATATAAAAAAAAATCTATAGTTTGACTCATCCACAAAGCTACTTTTCCTTTAAAACTTAATTATATGGTCTCGCTATTTGGTTAATAAGACGCTGATCGCTGGGTGATTGCTAAACCCATTAGTCAAAATAGCCAAATGTGAACATTGAAACGATTCAAATTTCTTTTGGGAGCCATTATTTTGTTTTTATTTTTGAAGTTAAAGATGTCTATTTCAGAATTGTTTTCTAGCTGTCATCTCAACAAAAATCACTAGGAAAGTGAGTCAAAGTTAATCTTTCAAAATCCTGGACCAAAAGAAATAATTAGCTTTCGAATAAAATAAATTCTTCTAATATAGATAACATTGTTCTTCTCTATTATCGGATTCTTTAGTCACATTAAAGGGTATAAAAAAATGTATCCGGAACAGCCAGTTGTTATGAAAATCCAAACATATCTGTCCACACTCCAATACCAGGGTTGGTCCGTCTATTTTATTAGGATTCCGAGGCGAATCAGTATTGTAGGAAACGAGCTCGCTATTCAAGCTGTCAGAGAGGCACTCACGCTCCCTGGCCGAGGTACCGCCGTTCTCATTCCATCAGAACTCAGGAGACCTCTCAAAATAGAGATATCAGATAGATGGAAGGCGGCGTGGGATGAAAGCCCTCCTAGTATTTTTAAAAAGATGGTAAAACCATGGTCTACATTCAACCACAGCAGCCGCAGAGAGGAAGTCGCCCTGGCCCGCTTGAGGGTTGATCACACACTCATACCTTATCAGAAAGCAACCGCCTCCCGTTATGCCAGTATTGTCATTGTGTGATCTCCGTTTAACATATTTTTGAGGATTGTAATCACTGCATTTCAAGTAAAAATAGAATAAGATTGACCCCAAATTTGTCTCAAGCCCTTAACGACAATGAAACTTCAGGCGCATTGGTATTTGACTTCTTAAAAACACAGCAACTCCTTTCTAAGTTATAGAACTTTTACCGAATTATTATTTTCAAAAACCTATTATTTCTACTTTTTATTTCATTTCATTCTGTAATTTGATAACTTTTGTATATAGTTTTCTATATTTTTTTTTCAATAGTATAGTCTAAATTTTCTACAAACTTATAGTTGAAATAAACCGTAGGCGTTGATGACCAGGGGTTTTTACCCCTATAAACAACAACAAACAAATAAACCTTGTATTTATTTTCCAAACAGCTTCTTGTCACAAGTAGTAAAAGAGGTTCGCATTAATTTGACCTACACTCAAGGGTAAAAGAGCCAAACGTAGCTCGCTTGCCAGACCAGGGGTCTCCAAACTTTTACCCGAGGGGCACATTGAGAATTCAACCAAATTCCGAGGCCCTCCGCCCAAGTAACCCACTTTGACGGTACCTAAATTGTTTTCTATTTGGAATTCGTCTCACAATAATTAATTAATTTTTGATTTAATTTCTACAACAAGTTTGTATAGAAAATAAATTGACTTTATATTAATGTTTTAAGAGTCAATACATGAAGGAAGTATCAAATAAATAAATAAAATAACATCTTGTCTGCTATTACATGGAGTGTGTATTTGAGTAAGATGTAGCCTTGCGGTGCATGACTTAAGCCTCTATAACCTGAGAAGGCTTCATTTAGGTACGTCCTGCGGTGGCCCTAATGAGAAGGGGCCTTCAGTGGCAACAGCGAGTGTGGTCGAGCCCTTTGCATCTAATGAGCCTTACACTGTCGCACCGAGCTAATTGTCCAAAAAGAACGAAGAGGCTAATCTTTCACAATTAACACTCCTAATAATAGTGTTTAACTAAACCGCCTCAATTAGTCTTTTCACTACATACCAAACCTTTCTTTCATAAACTTGGGATAATTTATAGGAAACATTACTCTACAAAGGTCAATAAGTCTTGTTCCTAAATTAAAGGTGAATTTAAAATACTTTTTAATATTCGAACAAAGCCTCCAAACAGCACATTTACTAACTTTGTATCCATGTCCTATATTTATTGGGTTGTCGAGAACTTAATGCAGGTTTAAGTTGTTAAAATATCCTATAAACCGCCCGGCGTTTTCGACTACTGCAGCACTTAATAGACAAGCGCTCTAAGCTTTCAATCAATTACAAACGACTCATATATATGGCAATAATAATACCTATTTAGACTTACGGAATTGAGCTTTGGGGCTCCACTGAACCATCGAATTCCTCTCGTATCCAATCCTTACAATCCAAAATCCTTCGTAAAATCCTCAACGCTCCTTACTTTGTCACAAATGAAATCATCCATAAAGACCTTAATGTTCCATATGTTTCCGATTTGGCCCAATCCAAATACCTATCCTTCCATAACAAAATGCAGAACCATCCGAACCCTCTCGTTTCCAACATTGCTTCCTCCTCGATCCCTGATAACCCTCTGCGTCTGAAAAGAAGATGGCCTCGGATCTTCTAATATAGAACTTTAATTTGAGTTCTACCAATGGGTAGTTTCTCTTCATGTTGTACATGTCACATTTACTTGTTGTATTTTTCATGTAATGTAGTAACAATCCTGCAATTTACTGCCTTTAAACCTATACCCCACCCTAAATGTTAGATCTGAATCTATTGATCTAAATATCTTCTCCCATTAAACTTATTTCTAAAACTAAAATTAAACTAGTAAATCCTTTGTCATTCGTGTTACCTCATTTTGGAACTCCTTACCCATCTCCATACGTCAAACCTTGTGCACAATTCACATTAAACAATCCCTATTTCACCACCTAAATCTTAGCATCCACAACTATGTAAAAATTATTTGTCTCTGTAATTACAATCGCATTTAAGAGTTAATTGACAAGTGCCTTTTTGTATTTCTTTATTCCAGAATAATGTGCATAATTTCTGAACTAAGAATAACGTTGTTTTTTCATTTATTTCATAACAGTTTTTTTCTAGGCTGATGGTGTAATTTCCTTACACTAGAAAGTGGGGATGATACTTTGGATTGTCTCGAAATGATCACTGAAATGTTCGAACAATGCTGCAAGGAACCCTTCGATTCCAGGAACTTAGGAACTTAATGGTTACTATTGACTATCAAAGTAAGTTACCATGTTTATTGTTTCTAAAGTCATCAAATTATTGGACGGAGAACGCTTGAATAGCGTAGTCGTCTGTCCCTGGATAATTATAACTTTTAAATGTAATTTTCATAGATTGTCAAATTTCTATATTAATAAAATATATGGACAAGTGTCCGGCATATTAATTATCAATTGACTAATATCTTTTGTAGAAATATTTAAATAAAAAACTCGCACACAGATATATATATTTGTGTGTGGATGTGTGTATACACACACCTAAAGTTGAAAGTTATTTTCATAAGTAATTTTTACTTTTAATGGACCCAGTGAATTTAAGAAAGCATAATGTTTTTTAACATCTAACATTTATTAAAATAATACCTCGATAATCGAAATGCTAATACATTTACGAAATTTTGTTTATTTTTAATTAACCACTACAATTTAATCAAATGAAAATCAGATAAGAACATAAGAGTTTTTTTTATTTTTTTTGTTTTCCTGTTTGCTGGAGTTTGTCCCATTCCTTCCGACTCGTGCTGTTTATAGCTGTAAACATTTACCAATGTAATAATTTAATTTACATAAAAAACATTGACTATTATTACTATTATTGCTTGATATTACTATTATTATAACTGGCTACTAGAGTAGTCTATAGTAATAGAATCCTGGTCATTTATAAGCCTTAAGAGCTAAATAATTTAGTCAATTGAGGAAGGTTCCTGCATGTATTAGCAGTGTTTAACGCTTATTGAGCTCGTAGAGGTCTGATCCCGGGGAAGTGGACTGCCCCTT